GTCCATCACTACATATTGGTAGTTTCTGGTGGTCCATCACTACATATTGGTAGTTTCTAGTGGTCCATCACTACATATTGGTACTTTCTGGTGTCCATCACTACATATTGGTACTTTCTGGTGGTCCATCACTACATATTGGTAGTTTCTGGTGGTCCATCACTACATATTGGTAGTTTCTGGTGGTCCATCACTACATATTGGTAGTTTCTGGTGGTCCATCACTACATATTGGTAGTTTCTGGTGATCCATCACTACATATTGGTACTTTCTGGTGGTCCATCACTACATATTGGTACTTTCTGGTGGTCCATCACTACATATTGGTACTTTCTGGTGGTCCATCACTACATATTGGTACTTTCTGGTGGTCCATCAGTACATATTGGTACTTTCTGGTGGTCCATCAGTACATATTGGTACTTTCTGGTGGTCCATCAGTACATATTGGATTATTTTAGGAGGGTGGTGTGGTGGTAGAGATGGTTGTTGTAGTTGTGATAATGGTGGTGGTAGTGGTGGTTGCTGTGGTGGTGCGTGTGTTGGGGGGGGGGGGGGAGAGGGGGGGGGGGGGGAGACGGGACCATTGATCGACCCCGGGCCAGCCAATGTGGGTGTCCGAGCGCTACCTTACACATTGTGCACGAATTACCTTCTCTGGCATGTAACAGTGGACCAACAGGGCTGTTGTGGGAGGCTTTCAGGACCTCAGGCGAAGATAAGCACGGAGTTGTATATGCCTAACCTCTCAGTACTCACCTAGTTGTGCTTGCGGGGGTTGAGCTCTGGCTCTTTGGTCCCGCCTCTCAACTGTCAATCAACAGGTGTACAGGTTCCTGAGCCTACTGGGCTCTATCATATCTACACTTGAAACTGTGTATGGAGTCTGCCTCCACCACATCACTGCCTAATGCATTACATCTCTTAACTACTCTGACACTGAAAAAGTTCTTTCTAACGTCCCTGTGGCTCATTTGGGTACTCAGTCTCCACCTGTGTCCCCTTGTTCACGTCCCACCAGTGTTGAGTAGTTTATCCTTTTCAACTCTGTCAATTCCTCTGAGAATTTTGTAGCTAGAGATCATGTCTCCCCTGACTCTTCTGCCTTCCAGTGTCGTGAGGTGCATTTCACGCAGCCTTTCCTCGTAACTCATGCCTCTTAGTTCTGGGACTACTCTAGAAGCATACCTTTGGACTTTTTCCAGCTTCGTCTTGTGCTTGACAAGGTACGGGCTCCATGCTGGGGCTGCATACTCCAGGATTGGTCTTACATATGTGGTGTACAAGATTCTGAATGATTTCTTACACAGGTTCCTGAAGGCTATTCTGATGTTAGCCAGCCTCGCATATGCCGCAGACGTTATTCTTTTTATGTGGGCTTCAGGAGACAGGTTTGGTGTGATATCAACTCCTAGATCTTTCTCTCTGTCTGTTTCATGAAGTACTTCATCTCCTATTCGGTATCCTGTGTCTGGCCTCCTAGTTCCTCCTCCTAGTTTCATTACCTTACATTTACTTGGGTTGAAATTTAGTGGCCATTTGTCGGACCATTCCTTCAGTCTGTCTAGGTCATCTTGTAGCCTCATACTATCTTCCTCTGTCTTAATCCTCCTCATCATCTTAGCATCATCAGCAAACAATGAGAGGAACGAGTCTATACCCTCTGGGAGATCATTTACATACATCAGAAACAGTATTGATCTAAGAACTGAACCCTAACAGTGAATATTGGTTCCAGGCCGGTGCTGCATACAGCAGTACTGGTATAAGAAAATGGTTAGATTGTCTTGAAGGAGGCCTCATTTAGGTTTCTTAACGACGTTCTAACTATCGTCAGCGGCCCAAGTGTCGTCGGTGTGGCCTTGTTCATGTGAGCCTCCGAGGGGCAGTTGTGGAAGTGTGTCCACTCTCAAATGTTCTTTGATTCCTGTTGCTGCCCCCCCCCTTGTACAGTGGGGCAGGAGGGGGGGGGGGTTGTGTCCAGGGGGGGGGGGGGTGTGAGTATGTCTGTGAGAGGATTAGACAACATGAGAAGGTTTGTAGTATAAAGATTGTTCCTAAACCATCATCATAACACTGTTTCTCTCTTTGTCAAGAGTCATACACGAACCTCTTGAATCTGTAAGACGAAGCAGAGCATCTTTCAGTTCAAATTAGGTAACAATAGATGTATTTATGTAATTTTGTATGTTTTGAATTTCGGTGGCATCATAGTCTGCGAGATTTTGAATATGGCGCCCAGTAGTGTCGCATCATCTGGGTTTTCCCGCCCAAAGATGGCGGGATTTAGGTCACGTGACTCGCGAGGGGCGAGCTGCGAGGCAGTTCATTGGCCCAGGAAGTCAGTGTCACTCGAGACTTCATTCAGGAAGGACGTACTGCATGGCGCTCCGGTCTGGGATCACTTTTGTCAACATAGAGGCTGTGCATAGAGCTGTGTGATGCCCTCAGCAAGCACTCTAAACACTTGAAAGTATTTGCAGTTGCCTCTACACCTGGAGGCCAAGACTGTAGCAGCGTCTCTGGACCGGTCCACGGGTCAGGGGGCGAAGACAGAACACTTCGGGTCAAGAGGAAGTTCCACGTGATAATTCGAGGATAACAGTCAGGGGGAGCCGCGAACGATGACCCAATACCAGGAATTTTGCCCACCCCTAATGGGAGCAATGCATGCGAGCAAGAATGAGACGAATGTCGCCATTGATTGATTGATGAAGATTAAGCCACCCAAGAGGTGGCACGGGCATGAATAGCCCGTAAAGCAGTGGCACGGGTATGAATAGCCCGTAAAGCAGTGGCACGGGCATGAATAGCCCGTAAAGCGAGAATAGCGGAATGTCGCCATGGTGACTTTGATTTAAATAGTGGCTTAGTACACTATAACGCCCATCCCCCCCTTCACCCCCCCTTAAGTTATTCAGAGGCTTCGGAGTCAATTGAGGTGTAATTGGTCATTAGTATTGACAAGGACTCATTATTATGAGTGCCAGAAGGACTTACCGTTTATACGATGCATATATGAGTGCTTAATGCTTATATATCTGTATATATAGGGAGACTAAGTTGGTCAAGAGTCTATAAGAGCTCAAGGGATGTTGTAGCTGTTGTACTGATACTCCCAAAGGTATAAATCTTTCCATAACTTGCCCAAGTGTTTCACTAAGTTAACTAGAGGATTATTGTGCTCAACGGCTAGATTATAAAGTATATTATAATGCATAATAAAATATATATAGATACCATAATATAATGCATCCAGCCTAGTGATTTTCTCGCCCCATTTTCTTTCAGTTTGCATGGGTGACCATGTTATTATTCATCATACGAATTTATGAGTAATTTCCGTACTCTCGTCTCCCATTAATGGTTGCATGATTGACATAGAGTTGACATATATGGTGGGGACGTTGTGGTGGGGATGGTGGATCACGTCTCAAGTTGCGGACTTGTGCTATAACCGGGCGAGTGACCGTTATCCGGCTTGAGGCTTAACCCCTCCGCTGCGCCATGGCTCATGTAACACCCATTACAGAGGTAAAGTGAGTTACAGAGTAATCAAAACGGGTACATAACCTCCCAGAGTACCGCTGGCTCTACCTTGAACCCCGGTCTGAGGAGAGTGGAGTATACAGCAGGAGTCTGTAGTACATGGTACTAGTCCCGCGGTTTACAGCGGTATACCATAGAGGAGAGACTTCCAGGGGGGACTAGGCTACATCTGCGGGCCCACTGGTGTACCCAGGGGTCTGAAACTGGGGGCCCCTGTGTTTCGGAGGGGGAGGGGCCCTGCCCTGGAAACACAAACCGAAACTGTCTCTAGTTTCCGCTTGTTACCACTTGTAATAAAGTTGTTACATCTTGGCTTAACGTGTTTATGACGTATTAGAACGTTGTTACAACTTGCTATATTGGTTGTTATAATTGGTTAGGTGTTAAAAAGTGTTCGAACGTTGTACCAACGTCGTAGTTTCGGTGTGTGTTTGGCGGGTGTGTTTCGGGGGGCCGCTGTGGCGGTGTAGCAAAGGGGACCTTAGCGGAGTGTTGTGGGTATATCTGCAGAAGGGGCATAGAAGAGGGGTATCAGCGTATCTGTGTGTGTGTGGTCGGCATAGTGTCTGCTTCTAAATTAACCAGTGCCAGCTTGCATAGTTATGAATCTCACCTTCGAAAGGCATCAATATCACGTTGGAAATTGATGAATTACAGGTTGGAAAGCCTTCACTGTCAGTCCATCCATCCACCACACCACTCCAACACGTCCCCCTCCACCACCACCTCGCCCTCCACCACCACCTCACCCTCCTCCACCTCCCCCTCCACCACCACCTCACCCTCCACCACCCCCTCACCCTCCTCCACCTCCCCCTCCACCTCCACCACCACCTCCCCCTCCTCCACCTCCCACTCCACCACCACCTCACCCTCCACCACCTCCCCCTCCACCACCACCTCGCCCTCCACCACCACCTCGCCCTCCACCACCACCTCGCCCTCCACCACCACCTCACCCTCCTCCACCTCCCCCTCCACCACCTCGCCCTCCACCACCACCTCGCCCTCCACCACCACCTCGCCCTCCACCACCACCTCACCCTCCTCCACCTCCCCCTCCACCACCTCGCCCTCCACCACCACCTCCCCCTCCACCACCACCTCCCCCTCCACCACCACCTCGCCCTCCACCACCACTTCGCCCTCCACCACCACCTCGCCCTCCACCACCACCTCACCCTACTCCACCTCGCCCTCCACCACCACCTCACCCTCCACCACCACCTCACCCTCCTCCACCTCCCCCTCCACCACCACCTCGCCCTCCACCACCACCTCGCCCTCCACCACCACCTCGCCCTCCACCACCACCTCACCCTCCTCCACCTCCCCCTCCACCACCTCCTCTCCCTCCACCACCACCTCCCCCTCCTCCACCACCTCGCCCTCCACCACCACCTCACCCTCCTCCACCTCCCCCTCCACCACCACCTCGCCCTCCACCTACCTCCTTGGGAGAGAGTATAGAGATGTAGTCCTCGTATATAAGCCTGGCCTTCTCCTCGATGATGGCCGGGTTGTTCTCTCCCTTGAGCTCCTCGCACGCCTGCCAGAACAGTATGTTCTCCTCCGAGTACTCGCACTTGAGGAAGTCCCTGAAGGCCTGGCGCCCGCCTGTGGGGGGAGACGTGGTTAGTGTGTGGGGGAGACGTGGTTAGTGTGTGGGGGGAGACGTGGTTAGTGTGGGGGGGAGACGTGGTTAGTGTGTGGGGGAGACGTGGTTAGTGTGGGGGGAGACGTGGTTAGTGTGTGAGGGAGACGTGGTTAGTGTGTGGGGGGAGACGTGGTTAGTGTGTGTGGGGGGAGACGTGGTTAGTGTGGGGGGGAGACGTGGTTAGTGTGTGTGGGGGGAGACGTGGTTAGTGTGTGTGGGGGGAGACGTGGTTAGTGTGTGGGGGGAGACGTGGTTAGTGTGTGTGGGGGGAGACGTGGTTAGTGTGTGTGGGGGAGACGTGGTTAGTGTGTGTGGGGGGGGAGACGTGGTTAGTGTGGGGGGGGAGATGTGGTTAGTGTGTGGGGGGGAGACGTGGTTAGTGTGTGTGGGGGAGACGTGGTTAGTGTGTGGGGAGAGACGTGGTTAGTGTGTGGGGGGGACGTGGTTAGTGTGTGGGGGAGACGTGGTTAGTGTGTGGGGGAGACGTGGTTAGTGTGTGGGGGAGACGTGGTTAGTGTGGGGGGGAGACGTGGTTAGTGTGTGGGGGAGACGTGGTTAGTGTGGGTGGAGACGTGGTTAGTGTGGGGGGGAGACGTGGTTAGTGTGTGGGGGGGAGACGTGGTTAGTGTGGGGGGAGACGTGGTTAGTGTGGGGGGGGAGACGTGGTTAGTGTGTGGGGGGTAGACGTGGTTAGTGTGTGGGGGGGAGACGTGGTTAGTGTGTGGGGGGGGGAGACGTGGTTAGTGTGGGGGGGGAGATGTGGTTAGTGTGTGGGGGGGAGACGTGGTTAGTGTGTGTGGGGGGAGACGTGGTTAGTGTGTGGGGAGAGACGTGGTTAGTGTGTGTGGGGGGAGACGTGGTTAGTGTGTGGGGAGAGACGTGGTTAGTGTGTGGGGGGGGAGACGTGGTTAGTGTGTGGGGGGGAGACGTGGTTAGTGTGTGGGAGACGTGGTTAGTGTGGGGGGGAGACGTGGTTAGTGTGGGGGAGATGTGGTTAGTGTGGGGGGGAGACGTGGTTAATGTGGGGGGAGACGTGGTTAGTGTGGGGGGGGGAGACGTGGTTAGTGTGGGGGGGAGACGTGGTTAGTGTGTGGGGGGAGACGTGGTTAGTGTGGGGGGAGACGTGGTTAGTGTGGGGGGAGACGTGGTTAGTGTGTGGGGGGGAGACGTGGTTAGTGTGTGGGGAGAGACGTGGTTAGTGTGTGGGGGGGGAGACGTGGTTAGTGTGGGGGGGGAGATGTGGTTAGTGTGTGGGGGGGAGACGTGGTTAGTGTGTGTGGGGGGAGACGTGGTTAGTGTGTGGGGAGAGACGTGGTTAGTGTGTGGGGGGAGACGTGGTTAGTGTGTGGGGGGGAGACGTGGTTAGTGTGTGGGAGACGTGGTTAGTGTGGGGGGGAGACGTGGTTAGTGTGGGGGAGATGTGGTTAGTGTGGGGGGGAGACGTGGTTAGTGTGGGGGGAGACGTGGTTAGTGTGGGGGGGGAGACGTGGTTAGTGTGGGGGGGAGACGTGGTTAGTGTGTGGGAGACGTGGTTAGTGTGTGGGAGACGTGGTTAGTGTGTGGGAGACGTGGTTAGTGTGGGGGGGAGACGTGGTTAGTGTGGGGGGGGAGACGTGGTTAGTGTGGGGGGGAGACGTGGTTAGTGTGGGGGGGAGACGTGGTTAGTGTGGGGGAGACGTGGTTAGTGTGTGGGAGACGTGGTTAGTGTGGGGGGAGACGTGGTTAGTGTGGGGGGGGGAGACGTGGTTAGTGTGGGGGGGAGACGTGGTTAGTGTGGGGGAGACGTGGTTAGTGTGTGTGGGGGAGACGTGGTTAGTGTGTGTGGGGGAGACGTGGTTAGTGTGTGTGGGGGAGACGTGGTTAGTGTGTGGGGGGAGACGTGGTTAGTGTGGGGGGGAGACGTGGTTAGTGTGGGGGGGAGACGTGGTTAGTGTTAAGAATCATGTGAGTTTTGAAGGAATAGTTATGACAGCACATTTGTCAAAAATATACACAAAACTGCTTATACAAAGTGTATTATATTGCTTTAGAGAGTGTGTATATATATGTATACGTATACATGACTTTTGTGATCTAGGAATAACAGGATTATATGGAATTAGTAAATGGTTAAATACTGTGGAAAATGTTATATGGTGGTTTCTGTGCATGTTTAATTAATGCGTGTACTCACTCACCTATTTGTGCTTGCGGCGGTTGAGCTCTGGCTCTTTGGTCCCGCCTCTCAACTGTCAATCAACCGGTGTAGAGGTTCCTGAGCCTACTGGGCTCTATCATATCTACACTTGAAACTGTGTATGGCGTCAGCCTCCACCACATCACTGCCTAGTGCAATCCATCTGTTAACTACTCTGACACTGAAAAAATTCCTTCTAACGTCTCTGTGGCTCATGTGGGTACTCAGTCTGCACCTGTGTCCCCTTGTTCGCGTCCCACCAGTGTTGAATAGTTTATCCTTGTTTACCCGGTCGATCCCCCTGAGGATTTTGTAGATTGTGATCATGTCTCCCCTTACTCTTCTGTCTTCCAGTGTCGTAAGGTGCATTTCCCGCAGCCTTTCCTCGTAACTCATGCCTCTTAGTTCTGGGACTAGTCTAGTGGCATACCTTTGGATTTTTTCCAGCTTCGTCTTGTGCTTGACAAGGTACGGGCTCCATGCTGGGGCCGCATACTCCAGGATTGGTCTTACATATATGGTGTACAAGATTCTGAATGATTCCTTACACAGGTTCCTGAATGCTGTTCTGATGTTAGCCAGCCTCGCATACGCCGCAGATGTTATTCTTTTTATGTAGGCTTCAGGAGACAGATTTGGTGTGATATCAACTCCTAGATCTTTCTCTTTGTCCGTTTCATTAAGTACTTCATCTCCTATTCTGTATCCTGTGTCTGGCCTTTTGTTTCCACTGCCGAGTTTCATTACTTTGCATTTACTCGAGTTGAACTTCAACAGCCATTTGTTGGACCATTCACTCAGTCTGTCTAGGTCATCTTGTAGCCTCCTACTATCATCCTCTGTTTCAACCCTGTCATAATTTTTGCATCATCAGCAAACATTGAGAGAAACGAGTCTATACCCTCTGGGAGATCATTTACTTATATCAGAAACAGTATAGGTCCAAGGACTTGACCCCTGCGGGACTCCACTATTAACGTCTCGCCAATCTGAGACCTCACCCCTCACACTGACTCGTTGTCTCCTGTTGCTTAGGTACTCCTTTATCAAATGGAGTACCTTCCCTTTCACTCCAGCCTGCATCTCCAGCTTTTTCACTAGCCTCTTGTGTGGTACTGTATCAAAGGCTTTCTGACAATCCAAAAATATGCAGTCTGCCCACCCCTCTCTTTCTTGCCTTATTTTTGTTGCCTAGTCGTAGAATTCAAGTAACCCTGTGAGACAGGACTTTCCATCCCTGAACCAATGTTGATGCTGTGTTACAAAGTTCTTTCGCTCCAGATGTTCCACTAGCTTTCTTCGCACAATCTTCTCCATCAGCTTGCATGGTATGCAGGTTAGGGACACTGGCCTGTAGTTCAGTGCCTCCTGTCTATCTCCTTTCTTGTATATTGGGACTACGTTAACTGCTTTCCAAATTTCTGGCAGTTCCCCTGTTGCCAGAGATTTGTTATACACTATGGAGTGGTAGGCACAGTTCTTCTGCTCCTTCCTTTAGTATCCAAGGGGAGATTCCATCTGGGCCTATAGCCTTTGTCACATCCAACTCTAGTAAACACTTCCTTATTTCTCCGCTGGTAATCTCAAACTCTTCTAGTGGTTCCTGGTTAACTATTCCCTCTCTTATCTCCGGAATTTCTCCTTGCTCTAAGGTGAAGACCTCCTGGAACTTCTTATTCAGATCCTCACACACTTCCTTGTCATTTGTAGTGAATCCTTCCACCCCTATCCTTAATTTCATAACCTGTTCCTTTACTGTTGTTTTTCTCCTGATGTGGCTGTGCAGCAATTTAGGCTGAATCTTTGCCTTGCTTGCGATGTCATTTTCGTATTGTCTTTCTGTTTTTCTTCTCATCCTGACATATTCATTCCTGGCACTCTGGTATCTTTCTCTGCTCTCCAGTGTCCTGTTATTCCTATAGTTTCTCCATGCCCTTTTACTTTGCTGCTTAGCTAGCCTACATCTCTGATTAAACCATGGGTTTCTCATCTTCATTTCACTGTTTTCCTTTTGGACTGGGACAAACTTGTTTGCTGCGTCCTTGCACTTCTGCGTGATGTAGTCCATCATACCTTGGGCCGTCTTTACCCTGAGCTATGTTTCCCATGCTATATCTGTTAGGAATTTACTTAACTCCTCATAGATTCCTTTTCGGAATGCCAGCCTTTTGTTTTCAGTATCCCTCCTCGAGTTCAATAACCCTTATTCAATCAGATACTCAAACGTCAGTACACTGTGGTCGCTCATTCCTACCGGGGTCTCAAAATCGATTTCTCTTATGTCGGAGTCGTTCAGAGTGAAGACTAGGTCGAGTCTCGCTGGTTCGTCATTGCCTCTCATCCTTGTGGGTTCTCTGACATGCTGGGTTAAAATGTTTCTAGTCACCACCTCCAATAGTTTGGCTCTCCATGTATCCTCGCTTCCATGCGGTTCCTTGTTCTCCCAGTCAATCCTTTCGTGATTGAAGTCCCCCATGATGAGCAAGTGGGATCTATTTCTACAGCAACCCGTTCTCGCACTTGCTTATAGTCAATATTGGCTTATTTAATAAGTGCATATGTGACATACTAATTGACTGTAAATATTTTAGTTTACCTTGAAAAGCTTCATAGAAAACACCGACCTCACCTAACCTTCTTAATATGTTAAGATACACATCTTATTGCTTCTTAATTACAATTATTACTTAACCTATACCGTTGACAGGTTAAGTAATAATTGTAAATAAGAAGCAATAAGATGCTTATCTTAACATATTAAGAAGGTTAGGTGAGGTCGGTGTTTTCTATGAAGCTTTTCAAGGTAAACTAAAATATTTACAATCAATTAGTATGTCACATATGCACTTATTAAATATGCCAATATTGACTATAAGCAAGTGCGAGAACGGGTTGTCTACAGGCAGCAGAAGCTGCCCTCTCAATTATAGTGCTAACTGCCATGTTGTTGTTGTCATACTCTTGCCTGTGTCTTCTATCATTTGGTGGAGGGTTATATATTACTGCTACTACTACTCTTGGTCCTCCTATTATCATGGTGCCTGCTATGTAGTTTCTGAAACCCTCACAGCCTGGTATAGCCATCTCCTTGAAACTCCATTCCTTTCTCATGAGTAGGGCCACTCCGCCTCCTCCCCTACCTTCCCTCTCTTTCCTTATTACTGTGTACTCTTGGAGAAACACGGCATTTGTTATTATTCCTGAGAGTTTTGTTTCAGAGAGTCCGATTACATCTGGGTTCACTTTTTGTGCTCTTTCCCTTAGTTCCTTTGCCTTGCTTGTGATCCCATCTATGTGTGTGTGTGTGTGTGTGTGTGTGTGTGTGTGTGTGTGTGTGTGTGTGTGTGTGCAACATAAGGAACATCCACAACTTACTCGAACACTTCATTAATCTCTCGAAGGAGTCGCTCCACGCCCGGATGTCCTCTATCGTAGGTCTGCAACGACAGAGAAATTGTGTCAACAATAGAGCAGGATGAATGGGTTTTGTTATTTATTTTGTCGTGATGAGTTAGGAGGCAGTTACCTGGCAGCGGTCACACCTGGCTGGCTGACCTCCCTCTCTCTCTCTCTCTCCCTCTCTCTCTCTCTCTCTCTCTCTCTCTCTCTCTCTCTCTCTCTCTCTCTCTCTCTCTCTCTCTCTCTCTCTCTCTCTCTCTCTCTCTCTCTCTCTCTCTCTCTCAAGCCTGCATCACTACTTCCCTCTCAGAGTAGGAGAGCCATATATGTATGTGTATGTTTTGGTAGCAGTCTTTCCTGTAGACATATATTATTAAATATGACCGAAAAAGTAAGATTAATAATTCTAACACGAATTTTCTCAATCTTTCGTACATTATGCTTCACTGTTGGAGGTAAATAAAAAATCACTTCTCCAAAATTCATTTTTATTTCTAGTCTGACGCGACACGGGCGCGTTTCGTAAAACTTATTACATTTTCAAAGACTTCACAAATACACAACTGATTAGAACTTGCGTTTCCCTGATTTTATATCTACATTTGAGTGAGGTGGGAAGGGTGATGTGGCATTACATTTGAGTGAGGTGGGAAGGATGATGTGGCATTAACACAAGACAGAACACTAGAGGATATTAATAGGGTATTAAAAGTATCAACACAAGACAGAACAGAAACAATGGGTATTGAATAGAAGTGTTTGTAGAAAGCCTATTGGTCCATATTTCTTGATGCTTCTATATTGGAGCGGAGTCTTGAGGTGGGTAGAATATAGTTGTGCAATAATTGGCTGTTGATTGCTGGTGTTGACTTCTTGATGTGTAGTGCCTCGCAAACGTCAAGCCGCCTGCTATCGCTGTATCTATCGATGATTTCTGTGTTGTTTACTAGGATTTCTCTGGCGATGGTTTGGTTATGGGAAGAGATTATATGTTCCTTAATGGAGCCCTGTTGTTTATGCATCGTTAAACGCCTAGAAAGAGATGTTGTTGTCTTGCCTATATACTGGGTTTTTTGGAGCTTACAGTCCCCAAGTGGGCATTTGAAGGCATAGACGACGTTAGTCTCTTTTAAAGCGTTCTGTTTCGTGTCTGGAGAGTTTTCTCATGAGTAGGCTGGCCGTTTTTCTGGTTTTATAGTAAATCGTCAGTTGTATCCTCTGATTTTTGTCTGTAGGGATAACGTTTCTATTAACAATATCTTTCAGGACCCTTTCCTCTGTTTTATGAGCTGTGGAAAAGAAGTTCCTGTAAAATAGTCTAATAGGGGGTATAGGTGTTGTGTTAGTTGTCTCTTCGGAGGTTGCATGGCTTTTCACTTTCCTTCTTATGATGTCTTCGATGAAACCATTGGGGAAGCCGTTATTGACTAGAACCAACACTAGAATAGTGTTGTTAACGCATACGTCGACCGTGCTCTCAGCCACAGCTCAGAATGGAAGCAAGTCGACGAAGAACTCTGTAGGGTAAGGCAGGTTCTAGTCAATAACGGCTTCCCCAATGGTTTCATCGAAGACATCATAAGAAGGAAAGTGAAAAGCCATGCAACCTCCGAAGAGACAACTAACACAACACCTATACCCCTATTAGACTATTTTACAGGAACTTCTTTTCCACAGCTCATAAAACAGAGGAAAGGGTCCTGAAAGATATTGTTAATAGAAACGTTATCCCTACAGACAAAAATCAGAGGATACAACTGACGATTTACTATAAAACCAGAAAAACGGCCAGCCTACTCATGAGAAACTCTCCAGACACGAAACAGAACGCTTTAAAAGAGACTAACGTCGTCTATGCCTTCAAATGCCCACTTGGGGACTGTAAGCTCCAAAAAACCCAGTATATAGGCAAGACAACAACATCTCTTTCTAGGCGTTTAACGATGCATAAACAACAGGGCTCCATTAAGGAACATATAATCTCTTCCCATAACCAAACCATCGCCAGAGAAATCCTAGTAAACAACACAGAAATCATCGATAGATACAGCGATAGCAGGCGGCTTGACGTTTGCGAGGCACTACACATCAAGAAGTCAACACCAGCAATCAACAGCCAATTATTGCACAACTATATTCTACCCACCTCAAGACTCCGCTCCAATATAGAAGCATCAAGAAATATGGACCAATAGGCTTTCTACAAACACTTCTATTCAATACCCATTGTTTCTGTTCTGTCTTGTGTTGATACTTTTAATACCCTATTAATATCCTCTAGTGTTCTGTCTTGTGTTAATGCCACATCATCCTTCCCACCTCACTCAAATGTAATGCCACATCACCCTTCCCACCTCACTCAAATGTAGATATAAAATCAGGGAAACGCAAGTTCTAATCAGTTGTGTATTTGTGAAGTCTTTGAAAATGTAATAAGTTTTACGAAACGCGCCCGTGTCGCGTCAGACTAGAAATAAAAATGAATTTTGGAGAAGTGATTTTTGATTTACCTCCAACAGTGAAGCATAATGTACGAAAGATTGAGAAAATTCGTGTTAGAATTATTAATCTTACTTTTTCGGTCATATTTAATAATGTATGTGTATGTATGTATGTGTGTATATATGTGTATGTATTTGTATATGTATATATATATGTAAATGTGTGCGTATATTTTTGTATGTATGTGTATAAAGTATATGTGGAAGCTGATCAGAATTACATTTCACCTTTGTAAATGCACGTTAATGACACTATGTAAAGAACACATCGAACATGTTATGTAGGGCATACGTAAATCTGTGTATCTATGTATTTACGTATGTAGGTTAGCGTAGCATTGTAAAAGTACTACAATCACCTTCTGTGGTTGATTGTTCAATAAATCCCTGAACTATATGTTTAACACATCTCTCACCCTGTCCATGGAGGACAGAAGAAAATGTATATATGCTGGTTAGCATTGTAAATGTCTGGCCACGTCTGTGGTAGAAAAATAATAATAATAATAAAAGCCTACTTCCCTCCCTGTGTTCAGCCTGCCTCGCTCCCGCCTGTTTACCATGGTATGGTGTACAGGGTATTCTACTCACCTAATTGTGCGGGCGGGGGTTGAGCTCTGGCTCTTGGTCCCGCCTCTCAACTGTCAATCAATCGGTGTACAGGTTCCTGAGCCTATTGGGCTCTATCATATCTACACTTGAAACTGTGTATGGAGTCAGCCTCCACCACATCACTGCCTAATGCATTCCATCTGTTAACTGCTCTGACACTGTAAAAGTTCCTTCTAACGTCCCTGTGGCTCATGTGGGTACTCAGTCTCCACCTGTGTCCCCTTGTTCGCGTACCACCAGTGTTGAATAATCCATCCTTGTCCACCCTGTCAATTCCCCTGAGAGTTTTGTATGTGGTGATCATGTCTCCCCTAGCTCTTCTGTCTTCCAGCGACGTGAGGTGCAGTTCACGTAGTCTGTCCTCATAACTCATGCCTCTTAGTTCTGGGACTAGCCTAGTGGCATACCTCTGAACTTTTTCCAGGTTCGTCTTGTGCTTGACTAGATACGGGCTCGATGCTGGGGCCGCATACTCCAAGATTGCCCTTACATATGTGGTATACAAGGGGCCAGATTCACGAAAGCACTTACTCAAGCACTTACGAACGTGTACATCTTTCCTCAATCTTAGACGGCTTTGGTTACATTTATTAAACAGTTTACAAGCATGAAAACTTCCCATTCAACTGTTGTTATTGTTATAAACAGCCTCCTGGTGCTTCGGAGCTCATTAACTGTTTAATAATTGTAAACAAGGCCGCCACCCGCCAAACACACACCGAAACTACGACGTTGGTACAACGTTCGAACAAGTTTTAACACCTAACCAGTTATAACAACCAATATAGCAAGTTGTAACAACGTTCCAATACGTCATAAACACGTTAAGCCAAGATGTAACAACTTTATTACAAGTTGTAACAAGCGGAAAATAGAGACAGTTTCGGTTTGTGTTTCCAGGGCAAAGATTGAGAAAAGATGTACAGGCTCGTAAGTGTTAGCGTAAGTGCTTTCGTGAATCTGGTCCAAAGTTTTGAAGGATTCCTTACACAGGTTCCTGAAGGCAGTTCTGATGTTAGCCAGCCTCGCATAGGCCGCTGATGTTATTCTTTTGATGTGGGCTTCAGGAGACAGGTTTGGTGTGATATCAACTCCTAGATCTTTCTCTCTGTCCGTTTCATGAAGGACTTCATCTCCCATTCGGTATCCAGTGATTGGCCTCCTAGTTCCTCCTCCTAGTTTCATTACCTTACATTTACCTGGGTTGAACTTTAGTAGCCATTTGACGGACCATTCCTTCAGTTTGTCTAGGTCATCTTGTAGCCTCATACTATCCTCCTCTGTCCTGATCCTCCTCATATAATTTTTGCATCATCAGCAAACATCGAGAGGAACGAGTCAATTCCTTCTGGGAGATCATTTACGTATATCAGAAAGTGTAGGTCCAAGGACTGATCCCTGTGGGACTCCACTGTGACTTCCCGCCACTCCGAGACCTCACCCCTCACGGTGACTCGCTGTGTCCTGTTGCTTAGGTACTTCTTATCCAGTGGAGTACCTTCCCTTTCACTCCTGCCTGCATCTCCAGTTTGTGCACTAGTCTCTTATGTGGTACTGTGTCAAAACCTTTCTGGCAGCCCAGAAATATGCAGTCTGCCCAGCCCTCTCTCTCTTGTCTGATTTTTGTTGGCTGGTCATAGAACTTAATTAATCCTGTTAGGCATGATTTGCCATCCCTGAACCCATGTTGATGCTGTGTTACAAAGTTCTTCCGCTCCAGATGTTCCACTAGCTTTTTTCGCACAATCTTTTCCATCATCTTGCATGGAATGCAAGTTAGGGAGTGTTAGCAAGTTATTGTACTCACCTAATTGTGCTTGCGGGGGTTGAGCTTTGGCTCTTTGGTCCCGCCTCTCAACTGGTGTACAGATTCCTGAGACTACTGGGCTCTATCATATCTACATGTGAAACTGTGTATGGAGTCA